TTCCTTCATCCTCATTTCAGCCAAAACATGTCTCACACCCTCCAAAACATTACTAGGGAAGATTTGGTTGCATTTAGTGCCGAACTCAAAGCTCAAGTTGAGTATTTGGCCAAACAAGTGGCTCAACTCACCAAGTTGAAAATGAGCATGGTCCAAACTCCAGAGGAAAGCGAAGATGAGCAAGAAGAAGACATCCAAATTGCACGTAAATAATATTTAATTATCTCATAAAATGAGATTTCGATGGATAAAACTCTCATTTTCGTTCTAAGAGTCATTAAATGGGATTCCACATAAAATCATCATAAATTATCCATTTTATGTTCAAATGCTTGAGAAAAAGGGAATAAATCATCAAAGGATCAAGTTTCGGGCTTGAACGAGCTTCTGAGAAGGTAAAATCGATGTTCGGGCCGAAAATCAGTGAAATTGGGCCAAGATCTCGTAACAGCCACGAAGCCCAACGGACCAAGGCCTCAAGGCGTCCAACTTGGACGCTTGGCCAAGTTGGACGCTTGGAGTTGGACGCCTTGGCTGGATTGCAGACCAAGGAAGACACGTGGCAAAACCTGGTTGGCCGGAGCAGCTCAAGCGTCCCGATCTGGACGCATGGACTTGGACGCTTTGACTTGGACGCCTCGGCCTCTGTCCTATAAATACAGCGCGATTCTCCCCATTCAACACATCACTTTCATCCCCTCTCTCGGGATTTAAGCTTTATATTCTAATTCCAAGTATTAGTTTAGCATTTTAGTAGTTTTAGAGTAATTTTTGGAGGAATTCTACTCCCGATCAGTTCTGTTCCGCTTTACGGAGATTGTAAGTTTCTTTTATTTAATAAAATGCTGTTTTAATTTATGTTTGCATAGTATGAGTTAGGGTCTGGATCTATGGGTCCGGACTAGTTTGGTTGTTTATTCTTTTGATGTTAAATTAATGTTGGAATGGTTAATCAATTGTTCTTGCCTTATTTAGTTAATTATTCTCGAAAGATTTAATTAGCTATTTATTGAGAAAATATTGTATGCCAAAAGGCTATGATATTCAAGTACAACGGATTAAGTACAAATCTAGAAATGGTTGAGTAGTAATAGAAATATTATTATTCCAATCGTTAATTTAATATGATAAAATAAATCCAAATGGTGTCCAGACCTTAGGTCCAGATCTACACTTATACTATGTGAAAGTTATTTTTTATTTTCACTCTGCTCCTTTTTTTTATTCGTTACGAGAAGACTTTCATAAATCAATCCTAATCTTCGCCTAATTAGAGTAATTAAGCTAATTCCCTCCGTCCACTCCTCGAGAGATACGACACTCGGAGAGAAAACTAACCCTTTACTGGGAAGGTTTGCTACCCGAAAACTACAACTGTCAGAAGAATACAATCGAGAGTTTGAAGAACTCTTGATGCGGTGTGATCTCTAAGAGAATGACTCACAAACCTTTGTGAGATATCTCTTTGGCCTAAACACCCAAATCGCCAACACAGTGGAGCTGCAAACCTTTGAGAGCCTTGAAGAGTTAACCAAGTTAGCACTTAAGGTGGAAGCCCAACTCAAGAAGGGCAAATCTTCTTTGAGCCGTAGCAATTCTTCCTACCCTAGTACATCAAATTCCACCCCCCTTGCGGCCCAAAACCCCACAGATCCCTCTCCTCAAAATCCTAAAACCGTGCACCCTATTTCCTCACCAAATGCTCCTCCTCTTTCAAAACCAAGTTCCTCAAGTAGCCGAGTCCCAAAGTGTTTTCATTGCCAAGGCGTTGGTCACTATACTAGTGATTGTCCAAACAAGAAGATCATGGCTATTGTTGAATGTGAAGAAGAAGAAATGAATCCATTTTAGGTTCAAGGAGAGCCGAACGAAGAAGTTGTTGGTCTCGATGAAGGTGAACTTTTGGTCATTCAAAAGACCATTATTCATGCAGCTGCCCAGGATGATACCACAGACCGAGATAGTATTTTTCATACTCGTTGCACCATTCAAAAGAAGGTGTGTTCAATAATCATTGATAGCGGGAGTAGTGCCAATGTTGTTTCCAAAACAGCGATGGAAAAGCTCAATTTGAAGGTGATGCCACATCCGAAGCCTTACGAGATTCAATGGTTGAATCTTAACGAAGGGATGCGTGTGAATACACGTAGCTTGGTTTCCTTTAGCATGGGTCAGTCCTTTCATGATGACGTATGGTGTGATGTGATACCCATGAGAGCTTGTCATATTCTCCTCGGGAGGCCGTGGTTATATGATCGGAGAGTTATCTACGATGGTTTCACCAACTCGTATTCAATTGAGATGAATACAAGGAGACTCACTCTTGCTCCGATGATTCCATCTATCCAACTGCCCCATGCACAATCTCCATCCATACTTTCCATCTTTATGAAGTCCAAATATTCAAGGCCCGAAGAGTCACCCCATGAACCCGTGTTGAACCCAAAACATCCCTTGTGCCTCGTTGAAAGCCCTCGACACAAACCCTGCTGTAAAAGAAGAAATCATGGGATCGAGTTAATACTAACGGCCTTTAGTGCCAATGTTTTTATGTATCATGTGCAGGGATTCCATGGAGGTACGCGTGGGAGAAAGAACACTCATTTTGAGTGTGCAAAGTTGTGTTTCCAAATTTCCCTCTCCCGAGAGCCCAAGCAAAGAGTGTTCGAAGATGAAGGTTCGAACGTGATTGAGTCCCACCCCGAAGATGAACTCGAAGACTTTCCCTAGCACACAAAAGGAAAGCCGGATCAAGAGAATAAGGCTGAAGTGTGGCGACGTTATTTGGATTAAATTCGCTCCGTTGCCCTGTCTCAAAGCCCAAACCGACACCGTGGTTGTCCTACACCCCCCTAGGCCGAACCATCACCCCACCCAACCCTGAACATCCAAAAACATTTCCTTTCCAAAATAAAGTTTTCCTACTCCTATTTTAGCCCTGGCCAAAAATAAGAATGTATAAACCAAAACCTTTTGTTTGTTGTTATTTTCCTTCTTTTAAGCCTTTCCAACAAACAAATAAAACCCTCTATCCTTCCTTTATTTCCTGGCCAATTAAACATCACAACCCCAACATAAACACCCACAAAGAGCCAAAACCATGACCCACCTCTAGCCCCTACTTCCTGCCCATGTTTCCCTTACAATATCCCAAACCCATAAGTCCAAAATCACATCATTCCCCTCCCCTTTCCCTTCACCCTTAGCCTAGAATCCCTGCCCATAACCCATGCCATAACCTCACCCTTGTTCCCCATTATGTCCATCAACTTGGGGGCACAAATAGCCACTATAATCCAAGACATAATGACCCACCATTACACCAATCAAACCTCACCTTGTTCCCCATAAAATACCCACAAGAAGCCCCCAAAAAAGGACCAGCCATTTCCTGCACAACCCCTTCCCCTTTGGCCAAAATATTCCCCTCCAAATCACCAAAGGAGATGCCATTCATTTTCCCCTGATGTACCTTCACTAAAGACCCTACAACCACACCCCCATCTCTGATTTTCCCCCACCAAAAGGACAACAATGAGTGGCTCTTGTTTTCCTTTGATTTGTGTGAATAAGAGACCTTAGAGTCTCCTTTATGTATCTATATAAACTCAGGCCCTATGGCCATTGTAAAACATCCCTGAATATTCAAAACCTTTTACTATTTGAGTATTATTAAAATAGTGTGATGCTATTTTAGCCAAATTCCTAATTCTATATCTTAAGAGTGGTTATCTTAAGTGTGAGTATTAGGTTCTAGATATTTGATTAAGTGTGTCATATCTTAATTAAATTCTAGATTCAAACCCCAAGTGAGGATAAGAGTGTGTAATATCTCTTAAACACCAACTTGGTTTATCCATCCCTGATTTTCTTCCATTTCATACCTCCCCATTTCTCCTCTTAATCTTACTCTTTTCTTCCATTAAAAATACCCAAAAGAACTCCTTCATCATCCCCATATTTTTCCAGCCTTTCCCCACACAAACACCATCATTTTGTTCCCATAAATCTGCCAAAATAATCGATTATCCTTGTTAATAATCGATTATCATTCCTCCATCAAAACACCTGCATGCGTCGTTAATCGATTATCACCCTCGGGAATCGATTATCATACATCAAGGGAAACTCCTGCAGTCCTCTATAATCGATTATCACCCTACTGATAATCGACTATTAGCCCCTCCTGAAAATCCAAGAAACTGAACCAGCAAATAATCGATTATCTAGACTAGATAATCGATTATCCTTCTATCCTGAGAATCGAAGAAATTTGTTTCTTGAGTTTGAACTTAATACCGTAACACCCGGAGCTTAGATATAACACATGGTGTTCGGATTGGAGTATAGTGGAGATGAGGGATGGAGGGGTGTTGTTGCTGTTTTGGACCGTGGGTGAGGAAGGTGGGGGTAAGGGAGTGAGGGTAATTTTCTTCTTATTCATAAGGAATGAATAAGTATTCAAGTAGCCATCATGCTGCACTTTGTTGTCGAACAACCAAGAACATCCCAAAAGGACGTGGCATGCGTCCATGGGAATGATATAGCACCAAATGTCATCCTTATAAGTCTTGCCGACAGTGAGATCAAGCACCTCGTATCAACTCGTAATCCCTTGCCTTGGTTTAACCATTGAATGGTGTAAGGCTTAGGATGAGAGGACACCTTTAAAAGTAGCTTTTCCACCACTGTTTTGGAGGCAACATTAGAGCAGCTCCAGCTATCAATGATTAACGAACACACCTTCTTTTGGTATGGTACAACGGGTGTGGAAGATGTTCTCCCGTTGTAATTTCTCTTCGGGACATGGTATGGCACTTAGGGTCCTTCGGATGACCAAAAGTTCTCCATCGTCGGGGCCAACACATTCTTCTTCCTCTTCCTCAACTACCTCTTCATCCCACACGGGATTGTACTCTTCATCATCATACTCAACCAAGGCCATTATTTTCTTGTTAGGGCACTCATTGGCGTAGTGACCAGTTCCTTGGCATCGGTAAAAAATAGGGGCTCTTTTGTTGGTTGTAGGGGCTGTTTTAGGTGGGGGAGGAGTAGGATTTGGTTTAGACGGAGTTTGGGGTTTGGGGATTCGGCCGTGGGCTAGTGTGTTTGGAGGGGGTGTAAGTGGGGCGTGAGTAAGGGCGTGGGTTTCTTGGGAGGATGGCTTTGGATTTCTTCATTTGAGCCTCAACTTTGAGAGCCAACTTAGTAAGCTCTTCAAAAGTTGTGTAGCTTTGCAGCTCCACCGTATTAGCTATTTGAGTGTTTAATCCGAAAAGGTACCTCACAAAGGTTTGCTCCTCGTTCTCTTGCAAGTCACACCTTAGCAAGAGCTCTTCGAACTCCCGGGTGTAATCCTCCACTGATTTTGTACCTTGCCTAAGCATTTGGAGCTTAGCAAAGTTGTCTCGTGAGTATTCGGTGGGCACAAACTTCTTCTTCAAAAGACTCCTCATCTTTTGCCAAGAATCAACGGGGGGCTTCTCACTTCGGACCCGTTTGGTGGTGGTTTTGGTCCACCAAGTAGAGGCATACTTTCGGAACTTTAAGGCCACGATCTTGACCTTCTTCTCATCGGAGATTTCCTTGAAATCAAATACTCGTTCCACTGTTTCTAACCACTCAAGAAATTCATCCGGATCATTCTTTCCTTCAAAGATTGGAATATCAACTTTGAAGTCAGAATGGGACTTTTCGTGAGCCCTAGCTCTCATGGTGGCACTAGAACCAGCTTCCTCTTCATCTTCACTAACTCGTAGCATGGACATCTTTTGCTTCGTGAGCTTAGCCACTTATTTGGCTAGGTATTCCACTTGAGCTTGCAAGGCAGCGTTTGCGGCTACGAGTTCTTCATGAGACATGCTTCGGGATTGCATTGACATGGTGGATAGGAAAAGGGGTGAAGTTGGAGTAGGTATTGAATGTGGTTAGGCCAAATTTAGGGAGGGATTTGGGGAAGTGTGTAAGGTCCTTGAGAGATGAACAACAACTAGCTTTGATACCAAATGATGTACCCAAGCTTAGGAAAAACTATGGATAAATAAGGGCAAATTATAGATGGGAATATATGGTGAAGAATAGGTTGGATTTGTGTATGAAATGGTGAAGAAAGTAGGGTTGTTTGGGAGAGGTGATAGGGCAGAATGAAGGGCAGGAGAAAAGCTATATTATGGAGTGGTTTTTTAAGAAGAAATGAAGTTTTTAAATGGGGGAAAGTGGATGAACGAAATTGGGAGAGAAAGAGGGGATTCTTTTGTGGTTTTTGTTGTATAAGGATAAACCAAATAATGAATAAGATATAAACACACTCTTATTTTATTTGGGGCTGTTTCTTTTCACACAATAATATTCACTATTATTATATGAAATAGACTCCTAACACATACTCAAAAGTAGCAAACTTCAGAGAAATTTCATTAGGAAATAGAGAGAATTAGCTTCACACCAACTCAAATATTACTTCAAGGAGTAAAGAAATGGAATACAATGAATCAATTTTACAAGGCCATAGGGCCGAAATATATAGGGAAAAACAGCAAGTAAACTTCACCACTCTTTCCTACAATTCAAGTGCATAATGTCTATTTGATGGATCCCATAGGTTGTCCTCATTGATCAAGGCTAAAAGGGGTTCAAGGTGGTAAAATGGGCTGTCTTTGGGTTGGGAAATTTGTCCATGTGAAGGGTAGGGTGAGGGAGTGATATACCCCCGACCACCAACAACGATCCTCGAGTCCTTAAACAAATCTGTGGAATAATGTCCAAATGTTTTAATCCTTTTTGGAATGAATACATCACCCATAAACCATACAACCCGACCCTGGTCCTGTTGGACCTTCCCCCACCTTGATGGCCGAAAATACCACCCAAAACCACCTCCCCCCCAATATCCAAATTAAACCCAAGTCCTTTCCCTTTTTTTGTTTACCTTGGCCGAACCCACACACCCCCACAACACCTCATCACATTTCAAACCACATGCTAAACCACAAACCCTTTTTCTTTTCCCTGGAATGGCCGAAAACTAGGAGCCAAAACCCAACCCATTATTTCCCCAATATGTACTAGTAGTGGTCCCCTTGTGTTCCCCCAACCAAGCTAAATAAACAACCATAACAGGCCAAGGACAATTCAGCATATATTGGTTCATAATTCATCAAGAAAACCCAACTCATGAGGAGCCAAAAGGCCTGCCATATCCCTCCTTCCTTGCTTTCCCACCTTGGCCGTGCATAACCCACCAAAACCCACCATAAAAGAATCCCCATTTCCAGCCAAATATGTGAGTCTCATTTTCCACCCCTTACTTCCCCCCACCAGGCCGAAACACCTTCCCCCACAACCTCACCCTTCCTCTTTGTTTTCATTCCATTAAAATAAGTGGACATTATTCCCCAAATAAGTGAATGTACTAGGAAGCTTCCCTCTCCCCTTGGTGTGCTTATATATATATCTCNAAGTGTGTAATATCTTATTTGAATGCTAGACTCAACCCCAAGTTAAGATAAGGGTGTGTGATATCTCTTAACACCAACTTGGTTTGTTCCCATTCCCTAAAAAACAGTTCTTTCCCTTTTTCCGAGCCACCAAATAATCGATTATCACTATTGATAGTCGAATATCCATCCTTCGTAAAACCCCTGCAACCCTCTGTAATCGATTGTCATTCTACAATAGTCGATTATCAGATTCCCTAGAAAATCTGCAGTCCACAATAATCTACTAACACCTCCCTATCAATCGATTATCAATCGCCTCTGAAACTCCTTCAATTTTTCCCCAGAAACTGAAGCATCCGATAGTCGATTTTCATACTTGAATAATCGATTATTCCCCCTTCCCTTCAACTTGAGGAGTTTGTTCTTAAACTTAAGCCTAGTCCCGGAGCTCGGGTATAACATTTGGTATCAGAGCTAAGTGTTGAACGTCCCCAAGGGCCACTCACCATCACTCCCTTCCCTTTACCCCAAGACCCCACAGCCAAATTAAACGACCTTCCTCACCTTTTCCCACATCAACCATGTCAAATGAATCCCAACCCATGTCTCATGAGGAGCTTGTTGCCTCCAATGCAGCCTTGAAAGCCTAAGTAGAATACTTGGCCAAGGAAATGGCAAAACTTACCAAGATCAAACTGAATGCACTACAAGGAAGTGATCATGAGGATAATGCTAGTGGCATCAACAAAAACCGGGCTCCCATCCATGAAGGTTCTGATTTCAAGGTGGACATTCCGACCATTGATGGAAAGAATGACCCAGACGATTTCCTAGAATGGCTAGAGACGGTGGAACGTGTTTTCGATTTCAAAGACGTCTCCGACGAGAAGAAGGTCAAGATCGTGGCCTTGAAGTTCCGCAAGTATGCATCCACTTGGTGGACCAATACTGGCACCAAAAGAAGAAGGAACGGTAAAGAACCAGTGTCTACTTGGACTAAGATGAGGTCCCTCTTAAAGAAGAAGTTCTTACCCGCTGAGTATGTTCGAGAGAATTTTGCTAAGCTCCAAACACTTAAGCAAGGTTCAAAATCCATGGAGGATTACAACCGAGAGTTCGAGGAACTCTTATTGAGGTGTGACCTACAAGAAGACGATGAGCAAACCTTTGTAGCGCTACCTATTTGGCTTGAACCTACAAATAGCCAATACGGTGGAGTTACGTACAAAGCTACGAAACCCTCGAAGAGCTCTCCAGGCTAGCCCTCAAAGTTGAAGCACAAATCAAGAAGTCCAAGGCCCTTCTCTCCAAACCCAACCCCAACTATACACGGCCTAACCCTACCTCTCAAAAAAAACACCTATTATCTCTCTAAAACACCCTTTCCCTCCACCAAAACACCCCCTACTGCCCACGACCAAACCCACAACTCTTCAACCCCAACACCACCCAAAATCCCCTCCTCTTCTTTCCCTACAAGGGCTGATCCCAACAAGAAGGCCCCCGTTTGTTTCCGTTGTCAAGGACGTGGTCATTACGCTAACGAGTGTCCTAACAAGAAGGTTATGGCAATCGTCGAGTATGATGAAGAAGATTGTGACCCAATTTGGGTTGAAGAAGAAGCGGAAGAAGTGGAAGAACCAGATGAGTACGTAGGTCCCGATGATGGCGAACTCTTGGTCATCCGAAGGACGTTGAGCACTCTAGCATGCCCCGAGGAACAACTACAACGGGAAAACATATTCCACACCCGTTGCACTGTCCAAAAGAAGGTGTGTTCCCTCATCATCGATAGTGGAAGTTGCACCAATGTGGCTTCCAAAACCATGGTAGACAAGCTGCGTTTGAATACGTCACCACACCCGAAACCATATACGATTCAATGGTTGAATCATGGCAAGGGTCTAAGTGTTGACACACAAAGTCTCATTTCCTTGAGCATTGGCAGCTCGTACAAAGATGACGTGTTGTGTGATATCATCCCGATGGATGCTTGCCACATCCTCTTGGGACGACCATGGCTGTTTGATCACCGTGTGCAACATGATGGTTATGCCAATACTTATTCATTTTTGATGAATAAGAAGAAGATCACCCTTACCCCTTTACCCCCTCCTACACCCACGGCCAAACCAACCAAAGAACAACCTCCCGTTCTTATCTCCACTATCCTACAAGCGGAACAACATGAATTCAATGGGATTAAAGATTTGATCCTATTGGAAGATGTAGAAGCCGAACCATCAAACTACCCGAAACAGACTCATCCCTTAGCCGAGCCTATCATCCTAGAATATGCCCATGTTTTCCCCGATGATGTTCCACACGGTCTTCCACCTAAGTGGGACATCCAACACAAGATTGACCACATCCCGGGGGCTGCCCTACCGAACAAACCAGCATATCGGATGAACCCCGAGGAGACGAAGGAAATTCAACGCCAAGTTGATGAACTACTGGCAAAGGGCTTCGTAAGGGAGAGCCGCAGCCCATGTGCCGTCCCGGCACTCTTGGTACCAAAGAAGAACGGAACATGGCGCATGTGCTGTGATAGTCGGTCTATTAATAAGATCACTATCAAGTATCGGTACCCAATCACACGTTTGGAAGACATGCTTGATGAACTGCACGGGTCTAAGATTTTCTCAAAAGTTGATCTTAGGAGTGGCTACCATCAAATCCGTATCTTTGAAGAAGACGAGTGGAAGACGGCGTTCAAGACAAAATTCGGGCTATACGAATGGCTGGTCATGGCATTTGGGTTAACCAACGCTCCGAGTACATTCATGAGGCTTATGAATCAAGTCTTGAAGCCATTCATAGGTCATTTTGTCGTTGTATACTTTGACGACATTTTGATCTATAGCAAAAGCGAAGAAGAGCACGTGAATCACCTCACCTTGGTGATTAAGAAGTTAGACGATGAGAAGCTGTACGGAAATCTCGAAAAGAGTCAATTCTTTACTCAAGAGATGGAATTCTTGGGATACTTTATCTCAAGTGAAGGAATCAAGGTTGATGAAAAGAAGACCCAAGCCATTAAGGATTGGCCGACCCCCGCTACTATGCAGCAAGTCCGAAGCTTCCACGGGTTGGCCTCGTTTTACCGGAGATTTGTGAAAGATTTTAGCACCATCACGGCACCCATCACCGATTTGACAAAAAATCAGAAGTTCGAGTGGAATCCCAAAGCACAACAAGTGTTCGATGCGATTAAGGAGAGACTAACACATGCCCCCGTGTTGGCCCTACCTAGCTTCGACAAGTTATTCGAAGTCGAATGCGATGCCTCTGGAGTAGGCATAGGGGCTGTGCTAACTCAAGAAGGACACCCGGTGTCGTACTTTAGCAAAAAGCTAAATGACACAAGACGGCGGTATTCCACTTATGACAAGGAGTTTTACGCACTGGTGCGATCTCTTGAACATTGGCGTCACTACCTCATAAGCAAGGAGTTCATTTTGCATTCTGATCATGAGGCTTTAAAGTACATCCAAGGGCAACACAAACTCCGACCCCGACATGCTAATTGGGTTGAATACATCCAAACCTTCACCTTCATCATCAAGCATAAAAATGGAACCATGAACAAGGGCGCCGATGCCTTGTCCCGGCAACATTTATTACTAACGGTACTTAGTACCAAACTTGTTGGCTTTGAGTGTTTGCAGGAACTTTACAAGGAAGATGAAGATTTCAAGGACACTTATTCTAAGTGTCTATCTCGACCCTATGGTGAATTTCTTATAAAAAACAGATATCTTTTCCGTGGCAATCAACTATGCGTCCCAAAGTGCAGCGTTCGCGAAACCCTTATCGACGAGGTACACGGAGGAGGCCTAGCTGGTCATTATGGGAATTATGGGATTGACAAAACCCACATGATGATGAGAGAGCACTACTACTGGCCGAATATGGAGCGGGACGTAGAGCACTTTGTGAAACGATGCAACGCTTGCCACCTCGCCAAGAGCCATTCACTGCCTCAAGGAAGACACCTACCCCTGCCCGTGCCTTTTGCTCCATGGGAAGACGTGAGCCTAGACTTCATTACCGGGTTACCAAGGACACAACGTGGCAAGGATTCCATCATGGTCGTGGTGGATCGTTTTTCAAAAATGGCTCATTTTGTACCATGTGTGACAACTTATGATGCATCCCAAGTGGCTGATCTCTACTTCCGAGAGATCGTAAAACTCCATGGCGTTCCCCGAAGCATGGTCTCGGATAGGGACACAAAATTCCTTAGCCACTTTTGGATGACCCTATGGAGAAAGTTGGGTACTAAACTCATGTTTAGTACGTCAAGCCACCCCCAAACCGATGGACAAACGGAAGTCACCAACCTGACTCTCGGAACCCTTCTCCGAGCCCTCATAAAGAAAAACATCAAACAATGGGAAGAGCTACTACCACATGCCGAATTTGCCTACAACCGCACCCTGAGCAAGACGACCGGTCTGTCCCCTTTCACGATTGTATATGGTTCCAACCCCTTGACCCCGCTTGAGCTTGACCCTATCATGACGGACACCAAATACAGTTGGGAAGCGGACAAGAGATCAAAGGAGATTCAAGACCTTCACAACAAGGTCCGAGACAAGATCGAAGCAATGAACGAGCAAGTCAGCACCCGAATCAACAAAAGGAGAAAGAACACGAGTTTCCAACCGGGAGACTTGGTGTGGATCCATCTTAGAAAAGAGTGCTTTCCCACCAAGCGCAAATCCAAGCTGTTACCAAGGGCTGATAACCCATTCGAAATCATAGAAAAGATCAATGACAATGCCTACAAGATCAACCTTCCAGGAGACTACGGAGTATCGGACACATTCAATATCAAAGATATCAGCCCGTACTTCGTGCCTGAGGAACTGCCGAGTTTGAGGACAAACTCTTCAGAAGAAGGGGAGGATGATATACCCCCGACAACCACCAACGATCCTCGAGTCCTTAAACAAATCTGTGGAATAATGTCCAAATGTTTTAATCCTTTTTGGAATGAATACATCACCCATAAACCATACAACCCGACCCTGGTCCTGTTGGACCTTCCCCCACCTTGATGGCCGAAAATACCACCCAAAACCACCTCCCCCCCAATATCCAAATTAAACCCAAGTCCTTTCCCTTTTTTTGTTTACCTTGGCCGAACCCACACACCCCCACAACACCTCATCACATTTCAAACCACATGCTAAAACCACAAACCCTTTTTCTTTTCCCTGGAATGGCCGAAAACTAGGAGCCAAAACCCAACCCATTATTTCCCCAATATGTACTAGTAGTGGTCCCCTTGTGTTCCCCCAACCAAGCTGAATAAACAACCATAACAGGCCAAGGACAATTCAGCATATATTGGTTCAAAATTCATCAAGAAAACCCAACTCATGAGGAGCCAAAAGGCCTGCCATATCCCTCCTTCCTTGCTTTCCCACCTTGGCCGTGCATAACCCACCAAAACCCACCATAAAAGAATCCCCATTTCCAGCCAAATATGTGAGTCTCATTTTCCACCCCTTACTTCCCCCCACCAGGCCGAAACACCTTCCCCCACAACCTCACCCTTCCTCTTTGTTTTCATTCCATTAAAATAAGTGGACATTATTCCCCAAATAAGTGAATGTACTAGGAAGCTTCCCTCTCCCCTTGGTGTGCTTATATATATATCTCGGCGATAAGCCATTGTAATAGCATATATTGTATTCCATTTTCAATCAGAGTGATTCANTGCTAGACTCAACCCCAAGTTAAGATAAGGGTGTGTGATATCTCTTAACACCAACTTGGTTTGTTCCCATTCCCTAAAAAACAGTTCTTTCCCTTTTTCCGAGCCACCAAATAATCGATTATCACTATTGATAGTCGAATATCCATCCTTCGTAAAACCCCTGCAACCCTCTGTAATCGATTGTCATTCTACAATAGTCGATTATCAGATTCCCTAGAAAATCTGCAGTCCACAATAATCTACTAACACCTCCCTATCAATCGATTATCAATCGCCTCTGAAACTCCTTCAATTTTTCCCCAGAAACTGAAGCATCCGATAGTCGATTTTCATACTTGAATAATCGATTATTCCCCCTTCCCTGCAACTTGAGGAGTTTGTTCTTAAACTTAAGCCTAGTCCCGGAGCTCGGATATAACAGGGAGTGTGTCCTTTTGTCCATTTATGCAAAGTAAGGTATGTGACACATCAAGGGATTGATTGTTTATTCCTTTGGCCTTATTATAGGTGTTAGAAATGATTTGGGGGGATGTTTTGGGGGGAGGAATTCGGCCATGGGACAAAGGGATGTGTGGGGGAATGGTTTTGAATGATTTTCACACCAAGACAAAAGACATGTTTAATCCTTATCTCCTGATTTGGTCTTTTGTGTTTTGTAATGGATTGGGATGGATAGGGATGGATTCTAAGGACAAAAGGGGATGTATTTTCGTGGGTTTGAAGTAGGAAAAGGTGGGGGAAGGTTTTATTCAAAGTAGGGAATATTAGGAAAGAAAACAACACACACAAAGCAATTTTGTTTGTCCTTGTCTCTTGGATTTTCGGCCATGGCTTCAAAGGGAGGTGAAGGACTTTATTTTGGTTAATAAAGGCAAATGAAATACTTTTGAATATGTGGGAGTGTGTTGGGCTTGTAGGAATTTCGGCCTAGGTTGGGTTTTGGGAGAGAAGTGTCATGGTTCGGGCTTTATTGTGGGACGGGTCAATGAGTTCAACCCAAAATGGATCATAACACCTAGACATTAAACACTTGACTTGTTGTAATACTAGTGGCGTGTGTGAAGGTGCATCCCGGGGTATATCACATGATTTCTCCTTTTACAGCAGGGTTTGTGTCGGGGGCTTTCAACGAGGCACAAGGGATGTTTTGGGTACAACACGGGTTCATGGGGTGACTCTTCAGGCCTTGAATATTTGGACTTCATCAAGATGGAAAGTATGGATGGAGACTGTGCCTGAAGCAGTTGGATAGACGGAATCATCGGAGCAAGAGTGAGTCTCCTTGTATCCATCTCAAATGAATACGAGTTGGTGAAACCATCGTAGGTAACTCTCCGATCATATAACCATGGCCTCCCAAGGAGAATGTGACAAGCTCTCATGGGTATCACATCACACCACACGTTGTCATGAAAGGATTGACCGATGCTAAAGGAGACCAAACTACGTGTATTAACACGTATCCCTTCGTTAAGATTCAACCATTGGATCTCATAAGGTCTCGGATGTGGCACCACCTTTAAGTTGAGCTTTTCCTCCACTATTTTGGCAACAACATTGGCACTACTCCCGCTATCAATTATCAATGAACACACCTTATTTTGAATAGTGCATTGAGTATGAAAAATACTCTCTCGAGGTGTGATATCATCCAGGGCAGCCGCATGACTAATGGTCTTCTGAATGACCAAAAGTTCACCTTCATCGGGGCCGACGATTTCTTCTTGAACCCAAAATGGATTCATTTCTTCTTCTTCACATTCGACAACAGCCATGATCTTCTTGTTTGGGCATTCACTAGCATAGTGACCAATGCCTTGGCAACGAAAACACTTTTGTATTCGGCTATTTGATGAGCTCGGTTTTGAGAGGAGGAGCACTTGGTGAGGAAATAGGATGCACGGTTTTAGGATTTTGAGGGGAAGAGACTGTGGGGTTTTGGGCAGCAAGGGGGTGGAATTTGATGTGCTTGGGTAGGAAGAATTGCCACGGCTCAAAGAAGATTTACTCTTCTTGAGTTGGGATTCCACTTTAAGTGCTAACTTGGTTAACTCTTCAAGGTTCTCAAAGGTTTGAAGCTCCACGGTGTTGGCGATTTGGGTGTTTAGGCCAAAGAGATATGTCACAAAGGTTTGCGAGTCATTCTCTTGGAGATCACACCGCATCAAGAGTTCTTCAAACTCTCGGTTGTATTCTTCGACGAACCGATTTCCTTGCCTTAGGTATTCAATTCCTTCCTCAATAAAGTCCTCATCTTGGTCCATGTTTTCAACAACCTTGCCTTCTCTTTTGCGCTTGGTGGTAGTGTTAGTCCGCAATGTAGATGCATAGCCTCTGAATTTTAAGGCCACAAGCTTGACCTTCTTGTCCTCCGGCACTTCGGTATAGTCAAAGACACGTTCAATCGTCTCTAACCATTCGATGAAATCATCCGGGTCATCTTTTCCATCGAAGGTTGGCATTTCAACCTTGAAGTCAGAGGAAGACTTCTCTTGGTTGTTTCTCCTCATGGTGGGAGAAGGAACTTCGGATTGGACGTCCTCTTCTTACTCATCTTTGCTTTCCTCTGGAGTTTGGACCATGCTCATTTTCAACTTAGTAAGTTAAGCCACTTGTTTGGCCAAATACTCAAATTGAGCTTTGAGTTCGGCATTAGATGCAACCAAATCTTCCTTGGTGATATTTTGGGAGGTGTGAGACATATTTTGAACTAGGGAGTGAAAGAATGAAAGTAGGGCAGTAGCTTGGATGAAGAAAATGGGGAGGGGAGAGTGTTTTGGCCGTAATGAGGATGAAGGAAAGAAGAAAGAGTGGAAGAGTGTTCTTGGTCCTTTGGGATGTAGGAACAAGAAGCTCTAATACCAGATGTTATACCCGAGACCTTGGGTATAAACGAGTTGCTATTTTGAAAAGGAGTTAAGGGATGATGCAGCTTGAGTTCAAGGTTCAGGAGCAGGTGATAATTGTTTATGGTCAGGTGTTAATCGATTGTAGAGCTGTGCTGCTAAAACCCAGAAACTTCAAGAAAGAAAGATAGTCGATTATCAGTATATAATAATAGATTATTGGGGTTCGCAGCTTATTCCAAGGGAGTTCATGACCCAAAATCTGAGTGGAAAATATGGAGGAGATGAAGGTGTTCTTTTGGGTGTTTTTAGTGGGAGAAAAGAGTAAGGTTAAGAGGAGAAATGGGGAGATAAGAAATGGAAGAAAAAATCAGGGATGGATAAACCAAGTTGGTGTTTAAGAGATATTACACACTCTTATCCTAACTTGGGGTTTGAATCTATAATTTAATTAAGATATGACACACTTAATCAAATAGCTAGAACCTAAAACTCACACATAAGATAACCATTTTTAAGATATAAAATTAGGAATTTGGCTAAAATAGCATCACACTATTTTATAAATACTCAAAGAGTAAAAGGGATTTTTAATATTTAAAGTTGTGGGTTACAATGGCCATATGGCCTGATTATATAGGCAGGGGAAGGGTGGAAGGAAAACACAATACACTGAATGTAGACATAAGGAAACTTCCTTGAAGCAACTATTTCAAAAACATGGGATAATACCCATTTATTCTTGTCTCTTTAATGGACTGAAATCAGAGATGGATGCCTGGGATTGTGGGGTGGTTTGGCATGTGAATGCAGGCCACTTTATTGATGAATGGATGGATTATTTTTGCCAAGGGGGGAAGGGATTGTGCAGGGGATGGTGGGTTGTTTTGGAGGTTTCTTGTGGGTAGTTTTAAGGGAAACAAGGTAAGGTTTGATTGGTGTACTAGTGGGTCGTTATGTCTTGGATTATAGTGGTTGTTTGTGTATCCATGTTGATGGACATAATGGGGAACAAGGATTGGATTATGGCATGGGTTTTGGGCAGAGATTTGTGGTCAGGAGTGTAGGGGAGAGGATAAAGGAATAATGTAGTTTTTGGGCTGGTTGTTATTGAATGGTGCAATTAAACCCAAGAGTTTCAGGGATGGCAGATAGTCGATTATCAATAACTGATAATTGATTATTTGGGTTTGCTGTTGATGCCTGGTGATATATATCGGTGAGCATGCCCAAAGACTCTCCGTAGCCCGCCAAGGGAATGACAGATCAGGGGTATAAAGCCCAAGTGTGGTGACGTTAATTGGGTTGGAACTTCTCCATTTTCCTATCTTAGAACTCAACCCAAATCATGGTTGTCCTACACCCATCATAGGCTGACCCACACTCCCATTACCTTCCCTAAACATCTAAAACATTTCCTTTTCAAAATAAAGTTTTCCTACTCCTATTTTAGCCCTGGCCGAAAATAGGAGTGTGTAAACGAAAACCTTTTGTTGTTGTTATTTTCCTTCTTTTAAGCCTTTTAATAAACAAATAAAACCTTCTCTCCCTTCCTCTAAATCCCTGGCCAAATATCCCTCACAATCCCAACACATCAACAAAGAGCCAAAAACCATGACCCACCACCAGCCATATTTCCTGCCCATGTTCCCTTGCAAATAACCCAAACTTATAAGTCCAAAACCACACATTATATCCCCCATCCCTGCCCCCTTTTATTAGCCAAAAACAATCCCCATTTTTTGTTTAAATAATAGCCACAAAAAACCCAGGAAACAACCACAAGGAACCAAAACACAAACCAACACAACACCAGCCCCATCCCTGAATGTTATCCCACTAAGGAGACAGGTTTGAATGAAGAATGCCCCATGCTTTGAGAGAGGATGTTGCTAGGAAGCTTCCTCTTGTTCACATTCATTGAATTATTTATTATTTCCCCCTTCCCTTGCCTATATAACTCAGACCTTATGGCCATTGTGAGTTTTAAGTTTGATTAAGTGTGTCATATCTTAATTAAATTCTAGATTCAAACCCCAAGTTAGGACAAGAGTGTGTAATATCTCTTAAACTCCAACTTGGTTTATCCATCATTACTTTCTATCCATTTCTCTTCCCACCATTTCTATCCTTAATCTCCTTTCTTTCCCTATATTAAAAATACCAAAAGAACCTTCATCATCCCCATATATTTCCAATCCATTCCTCCACAAAAACACCCTTCTTCCTACCCAGAATTCTGCCAAATAATCGATTATCCTTTCAGACAATCGATTATCAGCCCTCCGTTGAAACACCTGCAGTCCACTATAATCGATTATCATTTCCAGTCGATTATCCCTTCCTCCTAAAATCCTGCAGTCTTGAACAATCGATTGTCCCCTTCTGTCAATCGATTAACAACCCCTCCTGAAGCTCTAAGGAATTCTCCTAATAAACTGAAACACCTGACAATCGATTATCCAACTTAGACAATCGATTATCAACTCATCCTGCAAGAGAAGGAGCTTGTTCCCTAAAACCAAGCTTAATACCGACAAACCCGGAGCTTAGATATAACATTTGGTATCAAAGCTTCTTGTTCCTACATCCCAAAGGACCAAGAACACACTTCCGCTCTTTCTCCTTTCCTTCATCCTCATTTCAGCCAAAACATGTCTCACACCCTCCAAAACATTACTAGGGAAGATTTGGTTGCATCCAATGCCGAACTCAAAGCTCAAGTTGAGTATTTGGCCAAACAAGTGGCTCAACTCACCAAGTTGAAAATGAACATGGTCCAAACTCCAGAGGAAAGCGAAGATGAGCAAGAAGAAGACGTCCAATCAGGAGTTCCTTCTCCCACCATAAGGAGAAACAACCAAGAGAAGTCTTCCTCTAATTTCAAGGTTCAAATCCCAACCTTTGATGGCAAGGACGACCCCGATGTTTTCATCGAATGGTTAGAGACAGTTGAACGCACCTTTGACTATGCCGAAGTTCTGGAAGACAAGAAGGTCAAGTGGATAGCCTTGAAGTTTAGAGGCTATGCTTCCACGTGGTGGGCTAACACTACCACCAAACGCAGAAGAGAAGGAAAAGCCGTCGTGAGAACGTGGAAAAAGATTATGGCCCTTTTGAAGAAGAAGTTTATCCCCACTCACTATGTGAGGGAGAATTTTTCTAGGCTTCAACACTTGAGGCAAGGCAACCAGTCCGTAGAGGAGTACAACCGAGAGTTTTAGGAACTCTTGATGAGGTGTGACCTTCAAGAGAACGATTCACAAACGTTTGTGAGGTACCTATTTGGCCTAAACACCCAAATAGCCAACACCGTGGAGCTGCAAACGTTTGAAAGTATTGAAGAGCTAACTAAGTTAGCGTTGAAAGTGGAAGCCCAACTCAAGAAAGGCAAGGCCATTTGAACCGAACATCTACCCCGTATCAACACCCAAACAACTCCTCTCCAAACAGTCCACACGCCACCCCACAAGATGCCCAAAGGCCCACGCCCACTTCTTTCCAAAACTTCAGGCCCGTTCACCCACTCCCCTGCCAAACCCGTCCACCCCTTCAAAACCAAGTTCCTCAAGTAGCCGAGTCCCAAAGTGTTTTCGTTGCCAAGGCGTTGGTCACTATGCCAGTGACTCTTCAAACAAGAAGATCATGGCTATTGTTGAATGTGAAGAAGAAGAAATGAATCCATTTTGGGTTCAAGGAGAGCTGGACGAAGAAGAAGAAGTTGTTGGTCCCAATGAAGGTGAACGTTTGGTCATTCAAAAGACCATTAGTCAATTGGCTGCCCAGGACGATACAACACACCGAGAGAGTATTTTTCATACTCGTTGCACCATTCAAAAGAAGGTGTGTTCAATGATCATTGATAGCGGGAGTAGTGCCAACGTTGTTTCCAAAACAGCGGTTGAAAAGCTAAATTTAAAGGAGATTCCACATCCAAAGCCTTACGAGATTCAATGGTTGAATCTTAACGAAGGGATGCGTGTGAATACACGTAGCTTGGTTTCCTTTAGCATGGGTCAGTCCTTTAATGATGACGTATGGTGTGATGTGATACCCATGAGAGCTAGTCATATTCTCCTCGGGAGGCCCTGGTTATATGATCGGAGAGTTACCTATGATGGTTTTACCAACTCGCATTCATTCTTTTTGAATACTAGGAGAATCACTCTTTCCCCAATAATACCATCCAACAAGCTGCCCGAAACACCGCCCCCATATGTACTTGCCATGTTTGCCTACCACGAATCTAAAGAGTCACCATATGATCCTTTTCTTGAGCAAAACCAGCTGTTGAGCCTCTTTAAAGACCCCCTACCCGACCACTTGTTTGAAAAGGAAAGCCTCGGGGGCAAACCGACACTAACGGCTTTTAATGCCAACACTTTTTTGTTTAATTAGCAGGTCATTCAAAAGGGCACATGTGTGAGAGAGAACACGTCCTCAAGGTGTTCAGGTAGTTATAGAGAAAGCCTCACCGGAAGTTATATATTCTAAGGAAGTGATTTCCATAGAGTATTATCGTCTTTTTGGTGAAGGAAAATCTTATCTCATCTCCGAGATATGTTTGAAGCAGGTTCTTACAAAAAATGGCATCATGTTCCGGAAATTACACAACGAGGTGTCCACTAATTCCGGAATGAACCTCATTATTGTTGGTTTGTTGAATTTCCCATTTGATCCAGGAATTCTTGGATGAAAACCCAATCTTCCACGGTGGTGCGAAAGTTTGAGGACAAACTTTCTTTGAAGAAGAGGAG